CTATAAGGCAGATCTCAGAGAATTGAGATCTCTGAGGTTTTGGTGGCAAGGAGAGGACACAAGGATTGTTCCCTCCCTTTTTGTCCAAAAGGAATCAGGACTAGAGGTAATCCAACAAACCACACCCTACACCAGAATTAAAACCTCAGATGCAGGCACCGAATCCCACATTTTAATCTATGATCTCCCCACCATTGACAGCCATTCCCAGGACTGCACCAGAAACCCCCCATTACAGAATCACAGAATGATATGGGGTTGGAAGGGATCTAGTTAACCCCCTTGCCAGATCAGGTCCATCTACAGCAGGTTGCACAGGAATGTGTCCAGGTGGGTTTTGAATGTCTCCAGACAGATTAGACAGACGCCAGGCAGTACCTGCTTCCGAGAAGCCATGAAACATCTTCCCTTTATCTAGGTTCAGCCACACAGAAAGGAGAAACCTACAGTTTGGACAAAGTGATCCCCGCTGCTAATGCTAAACAAGTGTCAAAGGCACAGGCACATAAACCAGTGCAAGAGAAAGTAGGTTATGACAAGAACTAGCTCTTTCTTTAATTTCACTGAAGACTTTGCTGCCTTCTTGTTGGAAATAGCCATGAAAAAAAACACATGGCAACCCCACAAAGCCCCACCGAGGAGCCTGGGTCTCCAGATGCTCACACCTGCAGGGATCAGATCTATACTCCTCCTCCACAGTGGCCCACAGCTGGCTAAATGATGGAGGTGAGGAGGGTCAGAGCATGCTTATGAAGTTGGGCCCAGGTGGTGAGACAGGGCCATGGCTTGGCTTAAGGCTCAGAGCAGCTCCTTGTCTGAAATGTTGTAGCAGCTCAGCAAGAGCTGCCTGGAGGAAATACTGGTGTTTAGGGGGGCTGATGTTATTACCTTGGGCAATAGAGACAACTTCCCAAACGAGTGAGCAGAAAGGAGATGGGAAGACATGGAGGTCCTCCTGAAGAGCTGCAGGCTCTGCAAAGTCCTGTGCCTGTGGGCACACGGTTGCTGCCCAGGAGCCCTCTGACAGTGAAGGCTGCATGTCACAGCAAGACTAATCTCGTAAGAAAGGATCTTGATTCAGAGGCTCATGGAAGGGGAATGTCTTCAAGACCTACCAGGAGAGATTGCAGAGATGGTGGAAGAGACAAATGGTCACAATTGTGAGGGACAGCTTGGGAGCAGAAAAGGGACTGAGGATCTTGGAGAGATAGAGGCAAGGAGTTCTCTGGCTTGAGGACAAAGACAAGGAGCTGTATTTTCCAGGGTGACACGCAAGAAAGAGGAGTGACAGCCCCCGAGTGCTGCTGGAGAAGCAAGCAGAAAAGAAAGTGAACACGTGGGAAGAGTCTTGGGGAGCCAGTGGCAGAGTGGAGGTCCCCAGCATCCAAACCACAGCTGGAAGAGAGGGCAAACCCACCCATGGAAAGCAGAGACAGCGAGAAGATAGAGAGAAACATCCTTTGAGAACCAGGCAGAGCATGGGCCAGGTGTTTCACCAACCTGGGGAGCCAGTGGCAGAGTGGAGGTCCCCAGCATCCAAACCACAGCTGGAAGAGAGGGCAAACCCACCCATGGAAAGCAGAGACAGCGAGAAGATAGAGAGAAACATCCTTTGAGAACCAGGCAGAGCATGGGCCAGGTGTTTCACCAACCTGGGGAGCCAGTGGCAGAGTGGAGGTCCCCAGCATCCAAACCACAGCTGGAAGAGAGGGCAAACCCACCCATGGAAAGCAGAGACAGCGAGAAGATAGAGAGAAACATCCTTTGAGAACCAGGCAGAGCATGGGCCAGGTGTTTCACCAACCTGGGGAGCCAGTGGCAGAGTGGAGGTCCCCAGCATCCAAACCACAGCTGGAAGAGAGGGCAAACCCACCCATGGAAAGCAGAGACAGCGAGAAGATAGAGAGAAACATCCTTTGAGAACCAGGCAGAGCATGGGCCAGGTGTTTCACCAACCTGGGGAGCCAGTGGCAGAGTGGAGGTCCCCAGCATCCAAACCACAGCTGGAAGAGAGGGCAAACCCACCCATGGAAAGCAGAGACAGCGAGAAGATAGAGAGAAACATCCTTTGAGAACCAGGCAGAGCATGGGCCAGGTGTTTCACCAACCTGGGGAGCCAGTGGCAGAGTGGAGGTCCCCAGCATCCAAACCACAGCTGGAAGAGAGGACAAACCCACCCATGGAAAGCAGAGACAGTGAGAAGTGAGAGAGAAACATCCTCCAAGAACCAGGCAGAGCATGGGCCAGGTGTTTCACCGACCTAAGGAGCCAGGAGCTTCCCCAGGGAAGAGAGGGCTGCGCAGCCCCCAGGGGTGACACATTTTCTAGCCTTTGTGGAAAATTCCAGCCCTACTTAATCTCCTGGGGCTCCTGCAAGATTGTGACACGGAGAAAGGGACCAAACAGGAAAGAATTAGAGGAAAAATGCCTCTCTCCTGGCAGCCACCATGGCTGTGCCAGGAGTTAGCAGCAGCAGCTGCCGAGCAGCCAGCCCTGCCTCCCCCTCCTCCGGCCGCCTCTATAAACACGCAGGGCTTACTCAGAAGATTAGAAGGGAACGGGGCAAAAGACAACAGAGTCTCTTTTGTAATGAGGGAGGATTACGGCATCAAGTGACCGGCTGCAGCTCCCAAGTGGGTTTCAGGCTCCTTAGCGCACCGCCTCTGTCAGGTTCAATCCCCCCTCCATGAGCCAAGGGGGCACCAGGAGGCGGGCTGTGGCGTGGGCCACAAAGGACCCAGCAGGGACACGTGCAGGACCAAACCTCCACAGCCTCCAGAGCAGCTCAGGAGCCCATGACTGTGAGTATCTAGTCCTCCCAAGAGCAGAGCGATTCCTTCCTGCCTCTCCGCGACCTCCTCTCGCTCCGTCTGTCCACTCCACCCTCTTGCTCTCCATCTCCAAGAGCTGCTTGGGTCTGTTTGCCGTCTTGCGTGGTGGGTAATGCACCTGATGCAGGCTTGTTCTTGGGGGATCTTGGTCGATGTGGACTCCCCCAGTCCAATTAGTGTCAGTCGAGCTCAAGGGTGCAATGGTTAGTCTGGATGGATCAGGCAGGCAGTGGTAGGCAGCAGGTCCCTGGGGACATGGCAAAGGGGATGGTTCTTCCTCCCCATACCGACTCCGGTGTGTCCGGTGAGTCACCTCCCACCACCCACCTCCACTCCAAAGGGTGCTTTGAGCGTGCCAGCTGCTGAGTGACATCCTGGGACAGTCCCACAGGTGGGTAGGGAAGTGCCTTCACCATTCAGGGACGGAGGGATCAGGAGAAGCCCCCATGTCCGAGCAGAACTGCATAGAAGAGGGTGACATCCATTATTTACACGGACAAGAGCAAGTTTTCCATGTTTGGTCAAAAGTGAATCTGTATTTGAATTACGCAACGAAGAGCCTCCTTGAGCACTTTAAAAATCCAAAGCGTAGAGAAAACAGCCGGCTTTCCCTGAGCAGCCCCCAACAAATTTCTGGGAGTTTGCATACATTTCTCATCTGTATAGCCCATGTGTGTGCAGCCCCTCGGGCGGCTGAAAACCACTCTTTTTCAAGAGTCCTGTGCGCTGGCCAAAAATACACAAGGTAAGTGCCATGAACATCCACGAGGCTCGAGTGAAAGATGCATTTGTGCAACCAGGGAGCCCTTGGCAGGGCAGGTGCCAGCTCTGCTCCTCCATTATAACCTGTGAGAGGGGACTCAGAGAGAGTTATGAGATGGAAACCCAAAGGAAGAGCAGCACTGAAAAGCCAAACCCAGGAAAAAGATGCCATTTGGTTGAAGGTGCCAAGAAAAGAGAGGTTGCTGATTTTCTGCACAGCACCATCTCACCGAGACTGGACTTGTCCCCATATAACTGTAGATCTTTCACTGAGATGTGTAAATGAGGAGCACGGACACAAACTAACCTGCTTTCAGCTGCTGCTACAGAGCAGTAAGGTCTGAATTGTCCTTTGAAGTGCTTCTTTGCCTCCATCATTCAGGGGAGATCCCAAGGCCCCATCACTATTAACATTAGTGCTTCTGTTAGACAGCAATGTCTGTGCAACATCCCAGTAATGTGTTTTGATTTAAAAATACCAACAGTTTTCACAATGGATAATTATTTATGAACCAAGGGATCATTGACCTATCTGCTTGGCATGGATTACGCTGGTTTGGTTTTTTAAAAACAAATGTAGGTTTGTATGAATGTGAGTCTGATTATTAATTGATGATAAAGAATTCTTTATCCAGGGTTAGACTCGAAGAAGCACAACGGGAAAGCTGCATGGTCGGGAAGCATTTCATGAGCCTGAATGCCTTTTTTTCATCCAGCATGATTTATTGTGCAACGTATGGTTGAAGGAGAGGGGAGGTGGAGCTGCTGGAATTTGTGCTCTGTGAGCCTGGCCAAACTCCATCCCTCCGCTAACAGGGAGGGCTGTTCTGCCAACGGGACCAGGACCAGCACAGTAGAGATATGGCCTGAATTTAAAGACAATTATACTTGTTGGGCAAGTGCTACAAAAACTATCAGATCTAAAGGGCTATTTTCATCTGGATCAGTACCAAAAAAATTCTCCTTTCTGGGGTTTTTGCTTTCCTTTGTTTGGTTTGTTTTTTTTTTTTCCTAGCAGTATTTCAGGAAGACATTCCCCGACAAGCAGATTTACAGAAACAACATATTTCAAGCAAATACTACAAGAAAAAAAAAAATACAATGAAACTTTGGAGTTTGCAAACCCAAGAATTAATCTTAAACATATGGTTTGTGGAAGGGAGCGGTACGTGGGCTCTGTCCACTCTGACCAGCCAGCCCCACTTGAATGCTGATAATCAAACACTAGAAACCAAGGGCTTCTCCAGAAATTATATCCTCTGTCACTGTAACCAGCTCACACACAGCTGAAAGGCAGGAAAAAGAAGGCAGCTCATCAAATTAATTGCCTACCATAAATTTCCTCCCAATTCTCTGTCACTGACTTCTTGCCTGTCTTTTGATCTCAACTCGTCGTTTCTTTCTCTCTTCCTGCTTGCTGGGACACTGGAGGTGTCCCTGTCTCCTCCCTCTGTGCAAGCTTCCTAGCAGCTTCAACATCTGCTCATTTTGTGTCTCCACTAGGATCTGTGATGACAGTGACATACACCAACCGTGTGGCTGACGCCCGCCTAGGCACCTTCTCGCAGCTCCTGCTCCAATGGAAAGGAAGTATCTACAAACTTCTCTACTCCGAGTTCCTTATTTTCATCTCTCTCTACTTCACCATCAGTCTCATCTACAGGTAAGCATCCTGACACCCCGACACTAACGCAGCCCCCAGCTCTCAGCCTGTCCTGGAGCAGGACAACTGAGCAACATGGGATTGGGACAGTGATCCTGGATCTCCTCCTGAGAGGAGCTGGAGTGAGACAGCCACTCACCAGCCTCTGGATTATAAGGAACTCACTGCTCCAAAATGGCTTAGCAGCTGATAAATCTCCTTTTTGTGTCCTGGGAAGTGACACAGTTTCCCTTCACCGGGATGAAGAGTTGCATTTGATGATTACCTACAGAAGAATAATGTGTAGATCAGTAGAGATCAAGACTGAACTAGTACAGGAGGTCATAGAATCACAGAACAGTTTGGGTTGGAAGGGACCTTAAAATCACCTAGTTCCAACCCCCCTGCCATGGGCAGGGACACCCCCCTGCTACGTTAATCAAAGCCCCATCCAGCCTGGCCTTGAACACCTCCAGGGATGGAGCCTCAACAACTTCTCTGGGCAACCTGTTCCCTGTTAGAGTGCCTCATCACCCTCACAGTGAAAAATTTCTTGCTGAGATCTAATCCAAATCTCCCCTCTTCCAGTTTGAAGCCATTACCCCTTGTCCTATCACTACATTCCCTTGTAAAAAGCTCCTCTCCAGCTTTCTTGTAGGCCCCCTTCAGATACTGGAAGTCCACTCTAAGGTCTCCCTGGAGCCTTTTCTCCTCCATGCTGAACAACCCCATCTCTTTCAGATGTCCCAGAGTGAGGAGCTTTAGGAGAGAGTTTCCGTTGTTACACAACATGCGATACCTTGGGTGCATTTTTGAGAGCAGACATCAGCTCAGGGACCACAAATCCGTAATAAGCAACTGTAGTCTGTGGCTGGTCTGGTTTTGGTGAAGAAAGACAGGGAGTTCCCCAGCTGGTTTTACCACAGAGGCAGGGAAACAGCTCTAAGAAAGAGGCAGGAACTGACATTTTGCAGGATATGAAGTGAACTGTGGTGCACATCCGAGCGCTGTATCAGTCCCTCAATACCACATAGCACTGTCCTGAGTGAGAAAAACAGGGTGGTTCCTGGCATCAAATTGCACGACTCACCTCTCTCCCTGTTGGTGACCACTTCTGGCTCCTTTGGCCTGCTCAGCAGGGTGTTTTGGGGAGGTGGGCTGACGTCCCAGGCTCGTGGGGGCTGTTCACTCACATCCTCCCCAGACTCACAGTGTGGCAGTGTCCATCCTTGGCTTCCCTTGCCGGATTCCTATCCCCGCAGCCCCAGCAAGGCACAGACTCTTCTTTGAGGCTGATGCTTCTCTTTCTCCCTTTTAGGCTGATCCTGAGCGAGAGCCAAAGGCTGATGTTTGAGAAGCTGGCGCTCTACTGCAACAGCTATGCTGAGCTAATCCCCGTGTCCTTCGTGCTGGGTAAGGAGCTCGGTCTGGGGACACACAGGGAGGGGAAAGGGACAGCATTTCTTCTCCCTGGTTTTGATATTGCAGCAGGCAGGCAAGATTTGCTGAGCACATCCCTCCCTCTGCCTGTGTAAAACTCAGAATACATCATTCCACATTGCAGCGGGGAGATACGGCCCCAACATGCAGCTCACACTGGCCAGATGTACTAGCACATTTCTGGGTTCTGCCAGGCACTAAGTAGCACCAAATAAACCATGAAACCTCAAACCAGGGCAAAACCAGACTCTGAGGTTAGCATGGAGATTCGAATTGCCCTCCAGGCACGCCTGCACCCATCCCCACACGAGTAGTCCCAGACATCTCCTACACACAAGCATGTACATCCTTTAGGATGGCTAATCTGCTCAGCTCACCTCTAGGTTTCTACGTGGCTCTGGTGGTGTCCCGCTGGTGGGCTCAGTACGAGAGCATCCCGTGGCCCGACCGCATCATGAACTTGGTCTCCTGCAACGTGGACGGGGAGGATGAGTACGGGCGGCTCCTGCGACGCACCCTCATGCGCTACAGCAACCTGTGCAGCGTGCTCATCCTGCGCTCCGTCAGCACGGCTGTCTACAAGCGCTTCCCCAGCATGGAGCACGTCGTGAGGGCAGGTCAGTACTGGGACTGCCTTCCACACAGCTCTGGAACCAGCACCTCGCCGCTGGTTTTGGGGCAAAGAGCCTTGGAAAGGGACACACGACCCTCAGAGTGGAGATGGGATAGTGCTGCGATGCGCTCAGCTGATGGGTGAAGAAGTGGGTGGGAAGCATCTGCTCTTCTGAAATAATCAACCATTTATGTTTCTCCATTGCACAGCAAGTGCGTTCCTACTAGTAGCTGGAAGGCCTGTTTGAAAGATGAAGGGTCTCTGCCCAAATTTTTTATCTAAGGAGAGTGTCGAGATGAAGTTTGGGAATGCAGACGTGCTGCAGGACGCAGGGCAGCCCCGGGAAGGGAAGGGAAGGGAAGGGAAGGGAAGGGAAGGGAGAAGAGCTCTCTGTAGTAAATGACCCTACACACAGATCTACAGCAGAGCCCAGCAGACCCCTGCCAAGTGGTGTGTCTGTCCTCCCTCAGGGCAACAGTTTTCCACTTGGCAGGTGTAAATTGGAGCCTCAAACCTCCCAACTTTTAACTGTCCAGTTCCCTGAATTCTCTCTGAGGATGGTCTATAAGGTATAACATTTCCCAGTCTGCCCAAACAGAGATGTCTGCACCTACTCTAGTCAACTGGGTTCTTTTTGCAACACACAGAGAGAAACAAGCACTTCTAGGACACATGTTATCCCCTTCTCAACAAATTTCTACTTACAGCAGGCAACCACACCCTCAGCAGCACTTATCTCCCTGGTGACTGTGATCAGGTCAGATATGCTGCAACATCCAAAGTTAAATGAGATAAAGCCTGCCTCATGCTTCTGTAACTCAATGTTTTAACAAGAAGACTTGTTACTTCTACATGTGTCCCAAAGGCTGAGGGCCTGAGTCTTTCCTGGGATTTTTAAGGAGAGCTAAGGTGACCACCTGAGATGTAGATGTTTTCATTTCAGACCAGATCAAGTCCTTTCTGCCTTCTGTGGCCATCCCTCTCCCATCTACTCTTTCCCAGGCCTCATGACACCAGAAGAGCACAAGAAGTTTGAGAGCTTGAATTCCCCCCACAACAAGTTTTGGATCCCTTGTGTGTGGTTCTCCAACCTGGCTGTGAAGGCAAGGAACGAGGGGAGGATCCGGGACAGCGTGTTACTCCAAGGCATCCTGAATGTGAGTGACTGAGGCAATAGGACATTGTTTGAGATCCTTATCCAGTCTCCCATGTGGAACGAGAGGGGTTTCCAGAGGTCAGGCAAGGAAGAGGAATGCTGAGGCAGGACAGCGAGCCAAGCCTTTCCTGGCAATATTACATTAACTTTGATGGGAAACACCCCCCTGCCACTCTCCAGCTCGTGGCAGAACAGAGCTTTTCATGACCTACAGACATGGTAGCAACGTCACATATATTAGATGCAAGGGGAATGTGACATCTTTCTGAAACGTGGGACTGGGAGGAACCATAGGACTCACATCTAGGTGTGAGAGATGCACATGTAACAGGTCCCTGATCAACCTTCCTCCAGCCTTCACGCACTCCAGAGCAGCTAACAACAGTGGCCAGTGGAGGTCTCTAGGATACAGATGGAAAGCCACAAGGAAGCTTGTATCTGGAAAAGACCAGGAGAGGTCAAAACAACAACCAAGATCCCTGTAGAAAACTTCACTATTGAAAACTCTTAGATAGTGCTGGGAAGCAGGCCATGCGCCACAGGCAAGACCTGGCAACCATCCCTGCCCAGCTGCAGAGAAAAAAAAGGCCAGAGCAGCTCATCCTTCCTGGTATTCATGTGCAGAGAAAGTCACATTGTTTCTGTTGCCTGGAGTGAGATTCATTTGCCCAGAGAGAGAGAGAGAGATCCCCCTCTGGGCTATTTATCTAGATGCACTACATAGTCAGGAGAGACAAAAGGATGCTCCTGAGATATTCTTTGCCTAACCTGTTGGCTGCTCATTTTGTGAGGAGCAAAACACTGCTATGAACTGGGCTAGGAAGGGATTTTGGGCTCAGATGGAGGCATCCAGGCAGTGAGAAGTTTCTCCAGAGGGCAAATGTGAGACCCTTCTGGTGGTCTGCTGGGGTGAGGCTGGGCACTGAGGGAGCAGGAGTCCTGGCTGAGCACTCCTTTCAGAGGAGGTGCGAGTGGGAAGGAATGGGCTGGAGCAATGAAGGACATAGGCTGATGGTTGAACTCGATTATCTGAGAAGTCTCTTCCAACCTAGACAATTCTATGACACGAATGGCTGACAGACCATTCCTTTTCCCCACTGCAGGAGCTCAACACCTTGCGCAGCCAGTGCGGGCGACTCTACGGGTATGACTGGATCAGCATCCCCCTGGTCTACACTCAGGTGAGAAGGAATCCCCCCATGTACTGCTCTGCTGCCTGCCAGCACACACTGCCCTACACCACAGGGGGTACCCCCATTTACACCCATGCCTGACCCACACACAGACCACACCGACACGAGGTGCCTTTGGACACCTCATCCCCACTCCCATAACTCAGACACAGCCACCTCCACGGAAACACACGCTGCCCAGGGACAACTAAGCATGATGTGAACCACCCAGGAAAACACCAAGAAATCTGGTGAGGCCACAACTGGAATAGTGTGTCCAGTTCTGGGCTCCCCAGTTCAAGAGGGACAGGGAACTACTGGAAAGAGTCCAGTGTAGGGCTACAAAGATGATTCAAGGATTGGAGCATCTCCCTTATGAGGAGAGGCTGAAAGAGCTGGGACTCTTTAGTCTGGAAAGAGAAGGCTGAGGGGAGACCTTATCAATGCCTACAAGTATCTCAAGAGCGGGCTGAGGGAGGAGGGAACCAGACTCTTTTCAGTAGTTGCCAGTGAGAGGACAAGGGGCAATGGGCACAAGTTGGACCATAAAGGGTTCCACTTGAATATGAGGAAGAACTTTTTCACGGTGAGGGTGACGGAGCCCTGGAACAGGCTGCCCAGGGAGGGTGTGGAGTCCCCTTCTCTGGAGATTTTCAAGACCCGCCTGGATGCAGTCCTGAGTAACGTGCTCTGACAAGCTCTGGGCAATCCTGCTTCAGCAGGGGAGTTGGACTAGATGATCTCTATGGTCCCTTCCAACTCTAAAATTCAGTGAAATTCAGTGAAATACAGATCCACTCCCTGCACCCCCTCGCAGGGAGAACATCCCTGAAGCAGCTTCTTCCTACTCAGCGGAGCCGAGATCCAAAGCTGCTCCGATGGAGCTGTGCCACGTGCACGAGCTGTGTGCCCGTCCTCAGCTGTTAGATAGCTCTCTCCAAGCAAACCCAGACAGACACTCTGGCACCAAACTTGCTCCTTTTGTCTCATCCGATCCAGCTGCTCAGATAACACTAACGCGCTCCGTCGCCAAACGGGAACCGCTTCCATCCACACAGCCATGAAGGTTAATGGGGAACACGTTGGGAAACGCTATTCCTGCACAGACCGGGAGCAAAAAGCAGTATCACAGCATGTCTTTGTCCCCCTCTGCAATCACAGAATCACAGAATCTTCTAGGTTGGAAGGGACCTCAAAGATCATCTTGTCCAACCGTCAACCTCACTGACAAAAATAGACACCCACACAACAAACAAGAAGCGTCACCATCACTAAACCACACCTCCCAGCACTACATCAACCCGTCTTTTGAACACCTCCAGGGATGGTGCCTCAACCACCTCCCTGGGCAGCCCATTCCAATGGCTGATAACCCTTTCCTTGAAAAAATTTTTCCTAATCTCCAGCCTGAACCTCCCCTGGCGCAACTTGAGGCCATTTCCCCTCGTCCTGTCGCCTGTTCCTTGGGAGAAGAGACCGACCCCCACCTCTCTACACCCTCCTTTCAGGGAGTTGGAGAGAGCAATAAGGTCTCCCCTCAGCCTCCTCTTCTCCAGGCTGAATAACCCCAGCTCCCTCAGCCTCTCCTCATAAGACTTGTGCTCCAGACCCCTCACCAGCTTTGTCGCCCTTCTCTGGACCCGCTCCAGCACCTCTAGGTCTTTTTTATGGTAGGGGGCCCAAAACTGGACACAGTACTCGAGGTGGGGCCTCACCAGTGCCGAGTACAGGGCAATACACGACCCTTATTATTTTTTCCCCATAGGTACCCATCCACAATGCAAAGTCTGTCATTCCAGGCACTCTCTATCGTGCCCATCACGAAACAGCCCCACGCTGTTCACCACGAGGAACTTGGGGCTGGCTCCAGAGTCTTGTGACTCTGGGTGTTTGTTTTGAACCCCCCCTTCCCCCTGCCTTGTTGCGTCAAGAGATCACGCAAGAATCTCAGCTGCTTTTAATTTGAAAAGGGGAAGTTTCCAGTCCCATGATTACAGAGAAAAAGCACAATGCTCACCATAGCCTAAAATCCGGGCAAGCAAGCAGGGAAATATTAAAAAAAAGAAAAAACAACCCAGTGTGAGTACTGGGAAGGAAGGAGCTAGTTGAGAGCTGGCAGCAGGCTCCCCTCCCTGCCTTGGAAGGGACCTGCCAGCACAGACTGAGTCACCAGGGGATGGAGATAGTTTTCAGGAGAGGCAAAGGCAGGAATGAGAAGAGCTCACAACACTCAGCAGCAGAACAAGCACACAGCCACGTGGCAGGTGTTTAAGCTTTTCAATCCAGGATGTCACGTGCTTTCTTCTGCCACTATCTTCCTGTGACACCTACAGAGATGTCACTCCAGGCACAGCAGGGAGCAAAACACCCTGTGTGTAACAGCTCAAGGGCAAAGGGCATATTTACAGCTTTCTGCAGCTGAAATGCATCTTCCTGCGAAAAGCAGAGAAGTCTGTCGTAACTGAATCCAGGGTTTTCCAAAGGCTACAGAGCCAGCAGCTCGTGGCTGTTTGGGAGTTGTGTGGGGTGGAAGTGAAGAGAGATGCCGGGAAAGCAACCGGGGAACTCCAGCTCCTCTGATGTGTCCCCTGGCATCTTTCCCAGGTGGTGACCGTGGCTGTTTACAGCTTCTTCCTGGCCTGTCTCATCGGGCGCCAGTTCCTGGATCCAGAAAAAGCATATCCTGGCCACGAACTAGATCTCTTCGTGCCCGTCTTTACGTTTTTGCAGTTCTTCTTCTATGCTGGCTGGTTAAAGGTAAGCCCAAAAACATACATCTGGAGCTGGAATCTGATCTAGCCAAGGGTTTTTTCCAGTGTGTACTCACCAGTGACCCAGCTGTGTTCTTCAGTCCATGGGCAACCTGCCAGGTGCTGGCAGACAAAGAGGGGGCCAAAAGGGGCTGAGGGTATTGCCAAGACCTTCTCAGTTTCGGAGTGACTCACCCAGGAGACCAGCTTCACTTTTCTTTCCTAAGCTTTGGTCCTGACTAGTTTGGGGAAAAGGAAAGGCTACGCTTCACCTGCAGTGGTGGTCTGCAGTTGCAGGAGGGCTATGTGTGTACCAAAGTCTCCCAACCTCCATTTTTGGAGATCACATTCTGCCCCACAGACCTTCTCCACACAGGAAAAAGGGCAGGTATGACTACAATAACCCTTTCTGTGTTGCTCTCCACACGCAGGTGGCCGAGCAACTCATCAACCCTTTTGGGGAGGATGATGACGACTTTGAAACCAACTGGCTCATCGACAGGAACCTGCAGGTAAAGTGAAGGCAGGATCCTCCAGGTGAGCCTGACCTGCAGAGGAACACTGAGGCAGGACTGCGCCTGAGGGTTCAGCAAGGATCTCCTGAGGGAGATGGTTAGGAGAGCATAAGGCTCCCAACAAATATAAGGGTGGAGGTGGCCAGCTCAGTGCTCCCCCTCAGAAGCCGAGGAACCCTAAGCTCCAGAAAGAATGTGGGGCAAGGCTTATGTCAAGAAGACCCCCCAGACACCAGGGAAGACAGGGAATTTGGCATATCTTGTGCACAGAGACTAATTGCAGCTTTAGTCCATGCTCTGGCACACATGATGGATCCAAATTTTGTTTCATACCCTCACTGCCTTTCAGTGACACGTCATTCCTGGAATGCATGAAGAAGAGTATGGCCAGCAGGTCAAGGGAGGTCATCCTCCCCCTCTGCTCTGCCCTGAGGAGGCCCCATCTGGAGCACTGGGACCAGTTCTGGGCTCCCCAGTTCCAGAAGGACGGGGAACTGCTGGAGAGGGGACAGCAGAGGCTACAAAGATGATGAGGGGCCTAGGACATCTCTGATAAGGGAAGGCTGAGGGACTTGGGTCTTTTTAGTCTGGAGAAGAGAAGACTTGGAGGGGGGGATCTGATCAACACCTATAAATACTGAAAGGGTGGATGTCAGGAGGATGGGGCCAAGCTTTTTTCAGTGGTGCCCAGGGACAGGACAAGATGTAAGAGGCACAAACTTGTACATAAGAAGTTCCACCTAAACACGAGGAGGAACGTCTTCACTTTAAGGGTGGCAGAGCCCTGGCAGAGGTTGCCCAGAGAGGTGGTGGAGTCTCCATCTCTGGAGACATTCAGACCCCCCTGGACACATTCCTGTGGGACCTGCTCTGGCAGGAGGGTTGGACCAGACGATCTCCAGAGGTCCCTTCCAACCCCATAGCATTCTGTGATTACTGCCTCTCGTGAGCTTTTTCCATCCTGTGTCTGTATCTAAACTGTCTCCTCTGCTTTCTTCCATGCAGTAACTCTTCACCTTCAGCCCTTCTGTCCCAGGGAGCATATTGCTTTCCTGTCTCCTTCAGCACCACTGTCCCTCCAATTAATCAGAAAAACCACCAAGTGCCAGGAAATCACGTAGCAAACTCAGCCACTTGCCTCCCTTCCGTGCTACGTTGCTTCCTCCTGCCCCGATTCCTTTGTCCGCACGTATCGCTGCTCATCCTGTGTGACATTTCTGCTGTCCCCTGCAGGTCTCCCTTATGGCAGTGGATGAGATGCATCAGGATTTACCCATTCTGGAGAAGGACCTATACTGGAATGAGCCTGATCCCCAGCCACCCTACACCGTGGCCACCGTTGAGTACAAGCGTCCATCATTCCTCGGCTCAACTTTTGATATCAGGTGAGCGCAGCCAGAGGATGTCAGAACAGTCCACGGTCACACCTCGGACCAGGTTTTGTGCAGGATATTGTGTTTAAAGAGTAAAAGGAAGCAGGAATATCTTTCTCCATAGTTTGTGAAATTGTGCTCCAAGATACTTCTAGGCTCATCCAAAGATAACGGCCAACGTAAAATCATAGAATTGTCTATGTTGGAAGGGACCTTTAAGATCATCTAGTCCAACCACCAACATAACTCTGATAAAAAACCATCACCAAACCACGTCACTAAGCTCTATGTCAACCCCTCTTTTGAACACCTCCAGGGATGGTGCCTCAACCACTTCCCTGGGCAGCCCATTCCAAGGCTTAATAACCCTCCCAGTGTAAAAATTTTTCCTAATATCCAATCTGAACCTCCCCTGGCGCAACTTGTGGCCATTTCCTCCTGTCCCGTCGCCTGTTCCTTGGGAGAAGAGACCAACCCCCACCTCTCTACACCCTCCTTTCAGGGAGTTGGAGAGAGCAATAAGGTCTCCCCTCAGCCTCCTCTTCTCCAGGCTGAACACCCCCAGCTCCCTCAGCCTCTCCTCATAAGACTTGTTCTCCAGACCCCTCACCAGCTTCATTGTCCTTCTCTGGACCTGCTCCAGCCCCTCAATGTCTTTTTTGTGGTGAGGGGCCCAAAACTGGATACTTGAGGTGGGGCCTCACCAGTGCCAAGGAGAGGGGGACCATCACCTCCCAAGTCCTACTCACCACGCTGTTCCTGACACAGGCCAGGATGCTGTTGGCCTTCTTGGCCACCTGGGCACACTGCTGGCTCCTGTTCAGCTGACAGTTGACCAACACTCCCAGGTCCTTTTCTGCCAGGCAGCTCCAGCCACTCTGTCCCAAGCCTGTAGCGCTGCAGGGGGTTGTTGTGACCCAAGTGCAGGACCTGGCACTTGGCCTTGTTGAACCTCATCCCGTTGGCATCACCCACCGAAAATGATACCTCTGTCACCCTTCCCTCCACTATGAGCACCTCCATGGTGGGGGACCTAACACATATCTAATGGCAATACAGGAAGTGAGAAGCTGGTCACTGGCAGCAGCACTCCCTGTGCTGCCACCCTCTCCACAAGAAACCACCTTCTTTTTGTGACCACGTAACAGCCCGTTTTACCTTTCCCCAGCATGCAGAAAGAAGAGATGGAGTTCCAGCCCTTGGAGCAAATTAAAGAGAACGAGGAAGCGAACCACTCCACACCATTACTGGGACACCTGGGCCGTCTCCTGGGTGTCCAGTCACCGAGCTTCTCCAGGTCCTCTTCCCGGATGAACCTGCTGCGCAGGCGAGGAGAGCCTACATCCCCTTTCTCTCATTATACCTACCAAGACATAGGCAAGTCTGGAAGCCCTTGCAGCATCAATCAACCACGGGGAGATTCCAGCTCCCAGGAGCAGTGGGACAGCGAAGACAGAAAACTCAGGGATTTTGATGCTTTCATGTCAACCCCATTCTACGAGAGACCTGGTTTCTACAGTGCTCCACAGACACCCATCAGCTCTATCCCCATGATCTTCCCTTCTAGACGCCAAGGCCGCAAGAAGCCTCCCGCACTCTCCAGCATCACTGCGTGCTCGAATTCTCTTCGGGATGTCATTGTCAACTCCTCACCATCCAAGGTCAGCGACGTGTATAAAAGCCAGAGCTCCCTTGGCTCAGGTGCAAAGGAAACGTTTATTTGGCCAACAGATCAGGGCAAAGGTCCCGACTCGCTGTGTCTAACAGTAGAAGAAGAGAAGAGCCATTCTAACAGTAAGAGCAGAGAAGCTGCCACCACAGGGAGTCCAGGAGCTCAGTCCACAGCATCAAACAGCCCTAAATTCCCCTTCTTGGCAGAGTCCCCAGACCACGAGAAGCAGGGTAGCTTCAAGAGTCTGAAGAGCTTGAAAGCTTCCCACCCACCCTGGCTAACCCTGGAGAACACAGCATCAGCCGTCCCCAATTCAGAGCATTCAAGTGCCTTTCACACTCCCAGTAACAAAACCCCCAGAGGCAGCACCTCCTTCTGCTTCTCCTTCACTCCTGTGACATCTCCAGTGCTGAAGAGATCCCACATGGGCAACACGGGCCCTGATACTCACACCATGAGTTCAGAAGATGCAGCCAGCGCTCCAGACCAGCACCCAGCAGAGGTTTCCAGGACCACAAAAGATACTGGAAATGGAAGCACAAATACTCCTCCTACAAAAGAGCCGAGACGAGCAGAGAGTCCATCCCCCAATGACTCTGGCATCTCTCTAGCCGAAGGTGACTACGTGGGGCTGATGGAGGTGATCATGGAGACCAGCGAAAGCGCGTGTGAAGAGCAGACAGATCAGTACAGCTAGAGGAAACCAAGAGACACACACACACAGAGTTGGGTGAGATACCTGCCATACTAGTGATATGGCAGTATCTGTACACCTGGCCACACTGGCACCCACCCAGAGAGAAGGACAGGGCAGCCAAACCTCCTTCTGCTGGACCACATAGCCCAGCCTAAGGCTAAAGCCAGCCCTGATGACACACTGACCTCAGGTACAGCAGCAGGCACAACTTTAGTGTTGCAACAATAACAAACCAAACAAAACCCCCCCTTTTTTTTTTTGGTTGTAGGAAAAGGTGCAGTATCTTCAGCTTGAAGAACCTGGAGTGCAGGTGTAGCACAAAACAGCACAAGAATATAGTTAATGATACTTCCCCCCCCCCTCCTTATCACTGCACAAATTGGAACTTGAGCTTTAGGTTAATATTTCTCACCCATTACAAGTCTCAGGCAGAACTTGAACTACTGTCAAGATACTCCAGGAAAAGGAAGGGACAGAAGCAAGTCACATCATTCGTGACACAGACCCACAGTGCTTCTTGAAGCCATGTCTGGCTGATGTTTTTCCAGTCCTGGAAAAAGTAATGGGATAAGGCAGGGCAAGTGTCTACTAGAACAGGTGGCCACAGCCAATGGTGTCAGCCCAGCACATTGCTTCCACATCACACTTAACTTCTCTGAGCACTGTCACATCAGTGGCATCTGGATGGTAGCAGACACCAGGGAGCTGTGAGGTTTTTACCGTCTTCCCTAAGAAAATAAAAGCAAGGCTGAAGTCTAGGACCACCCGTTTCATTTCCTCATTTTAGTTTCCATTCAACAATAGGGAAATTTAGAGAAACCACACAGGTTTTCCTACTTCTATCTCCAGAAACAGCTGCAGAGCTCCTGTATCACAAGGGGGGCACGTGACAAACTTGTGTCATGCCATTCATTAAGATGGGCACAGTAATTAGGGAGGCACTAACCCTGCCTTCAGTAGCCTCATCTAAATTCACAGCCACCAGTTCAGGAAGTTTAGAGCCTCAAACCTTCCTTGCAACATTCATCACAGCCACAGCTTTGGTGGTAATGGCATTTAAAACACAACTTTAGTCACTGTAGCAATTCTCACAGTCAATCCCACTGGATTGGAAAAAAAAAGAAGTCATTTCTATAATAAAAAAAACCCAACAGTAAAACCTGACCCCTCTAATATTACTCCTTCAACCACGCCCAACTTCAGAGGGCTGCCACAACAGATGGAGCACAATCTGTTCAGGCCTCTCACTCCCGAGAGAAACAGAAAAAAGCCAACTTGAACCAAATCACTTTATTGGATGGAGGGCAATACACAAAACACAAGAGAAAATAGGGTTGATATTTGGTACAGAGTATGAGAACTGTTTATCTAGATAGCTGAAGATGCATGCATGGCTGGACAGTTAAGTAGGAGTCCCACTGAAACATATAGGGTGGCTCCTGGCAAGACTTCAGCTCTCATTGTCACTCTCCCCAAGGGTGTGCTTGTCAAAGAGGTACTCTGCCATCCCATATTTTGGTGCCCCCATCTTCCGCAGGTTGGTCACATGGTCACCCAGCTCTTTGATGGCTTTCACCTGCTCATCCAGGTAATGAGTCTCAATGAAGTCACACAACTGAAAGGGAGACAAAAGAGTTTAAAATTTAGGCCCAGACACAGCTTATCCTGCTGAAACAGCATCTGAAATCCTACCAATCCTCCCTAGGGTAAGGAGAAGACACAATGACAATTTTAAAGCTGCAGAAGATGCCTGAGAGGAAGAAGCCTTTAGTTTTGCCTCAGCAATGCCAGAACAAGACAGAGTGGGGCAGGTTTATCTAGAAACATTCTCTCTAGAACTTTGTAGGACAATGTCAGCTAAAGAAGCCTCCCCTCTTCCTCACTACAGAGAGCAATAGGCAAGTTCTTGAACAGATTTAGAAGCCCCCACTGCACAGCACTTGAATTCATGACCACGAGGATTTACACCTGTAGAATGGTCCAGTTAAATTCTTGGGGTTTTTGTTTGTTTGTTTTTAAAAGTCCCTTTAACTTATGCAGGACACTTCCAAGAGTGCTTTGAGTCGGACAGCTGTTACTCTTTCTGATGGTAAGAGGCCTCAATCCAGCTTTGCCAGTAACTTCCATCTGTGATAAAACCTGTATTTTCATCATCTTCTGAAGTGTCAGGGCTTTAAACATTCCAAAGTGACTGTCAAAATTTTATGACAGCCTTACAGGCATCCAGTGGTTTAAAGAACTCATCCCTCACAGAAACAAGCCTTCTTCACAGAGCTTAATACAGGTCTTTCCTTCAGAATGCTGTTCTTTGTTCCCAAGAGCAACAGAAGGGTTTGCACAAATCAATACCACCCACGGTTCTGTAAGGCAGGCCCCAGCCACCCTCCCACACTGCAACTGGTCCTTCTGGAGAAAGATGGCAATAATCCTACCCAAGGGCTAAGGTACAGGCTGACACCTGGGCCCTTCCCTTTGGAAAGGCTACACCACCACCTCACACCCTTTTTTCACCTTTAGGGATAGCAGGGACACACAACTCACCCCTAAACCCAATTAAGACACATACAAGGGTCTAACTTCCTCAGCTCCAGCATCTACTTACGTGTGGGTCGTTCTTCTCAGTTGCCAATTTGTGCAGTTCTAACAGTGATTGGTTCACATTCTTCTCCAGGTGCAGGGCACACTCCATTGCAGTCAGTCCATTCTCCCAGTCATCACGATCTGGCTTCTAGAAGGGGAAAGCACACAACAATATTTTACTCTAAGCACCAACAGACCACTAAGGAGCAAAGTCTTTTAGACCAGTCTCAAAACCTGTTTAGACCAAGTTCAGGCATTTAGGTATCTTCAAAAACTTGGTGGACACACAGAGCACTCCAAACAGAACTGAATGCATGCTCCAAGTCCCAGACCTGTCCCCATCCCCTCGATTCCCTTCATGTTATGTCCTCAGAGCTCTCACATGCAAGACAGCTAGTAGTACTACTTTCTTCTCCCTCACACTCACTTTGTTTGCTGTTTTCCACATGAAGAGTTGTCCTGCATTAAACTGTCCCTACAACGTTGCTTACTTTCTGCTGTTTTGAATAATCTTATTAAAGTGACATCAAGAAAACTGCTATGAAATCTGCTTGTTATGGCTCACTACAAATCGGAAACTTGAGATTTCCTGTTCCCACGGCAAGCAGGTCAAGAGTTCTCTACAAAATGGTGCAGAGAACAGAGAAGGCTCTTTTTAAATTTAGGGTAGATGAATCACTTGTGTTCTGGTTACCCTCACCCCACAGCACACCACTTAGTGTTAAGCATCCTCTTCTTACCAGGAAGTACTTTTGATTAGTCGGTGAGCACAAATTATCAAATTACTACGCATCCCTAGACTGTGGGCAAAGTGCCACACAGGTCACAGCAATGCGGTACGCTTATCTACTGTCAGCTGCTGCTCCTGCTGGGAGAGGACACAGGAAAATTCGTCCCCTTCCAGTCTGAAGACAGGACAACCCACAGTTCCACTCCTCACCTTGATGTCCTGCAAGAAGATGCGTCCGCCCCTCTGATTCTGCAGCTTCATCAGCTTCTCAGCATGCTCACGTTCCTCATGGGACTGATGCAGGAAGTACTTGGCAAAGTTTTTCAGAGCAACATCATCCCGATCGAAATAGTAGGACTGCAAAATAAGAATTCATACGCTCAAAACCCCAAGCCTGACTCCAGCAGTCACACAAAGCCAAGTCCGTGCTGTGACTTCAGCTATGTCCCCTATCAGCTCTACTTCAAGATGCCTGGAGTCCAAGCTAAGGCTAACAGTAGCACTGATGACAGAAAGGCAGTGTTGCAAAACTCTCTCCTTAGCAGCAAGTTAGATTTTCCTGACTAGGATTAAATTTTAACCTGTATCTCTACCATGAACACAAATAAATGGTATTTGTAGTTCAGTTCTGAAGATAGAAAAAACCCCACAGGTACCTGTTCTTCTGAGCACCAACACAGCAGACTTGAAAAGCCTTTCTTTAAAGGAGAAATATTCCCTGCTCCCTTTGTTTGCCTGAGTTTGTTTACAATAACTGATGTTGCAAGTCAGAACCTTGACTGTGATTAAGGGCAGCCAAGAACTTTAAGTACTTTTGCAATAAAGCTCCCATGCTTCCCTAGGCTTATCAGGGACTAGGCTAAGAGTCCCTGACTTCCTACATTTGGGGGAAAAAAAACAGCACCACATTTAAAAGACAAAAGATAAGTTGAACTAAAATACATATTCAACATTAAATACAAGGTCATTTATTTGAAAGCCTTAAAAAAACTGTAACAGCAGTTAGAAGCCATCACACAGCTTGTTTGTTCTTTGGTCAGAGCCATTAGGCAGGACTCAATGGAAGGCTTTGTACCAACTGCCAGTTATTCACCAGACAAACTGCTACCGAATTCTCTGCTCTTAAACCAGCAGCTTGGAGGTTTCAAGGTAAGACACTGGTGCTTGTGTACCACAGTCACCCACCAATGTAATTACATTCAGCACGTAGCTGAGGTTCAGACCATCACAGTGACACAGAAGCAAGCTGTGAAGTTCTACACCTAAATGCCACAACATACAACAGTGCCACTAGAAAGTCTCAAGTTACCAGCACGCCTCAAACACCAAGATTGCTGCACAGAGGTCAGAGTTTGGACCAAAGTTACTCATCTCAGCTATGGCTAAAATGGGAACCTCACGCCAAGTCAGGCATGTAAGCGCAGCGCCAAGGAAACCACGGGTTCCTACCACTTCACTTCGAAAACCATGAACGAAAAACCTTGCCTCAAGAGACAAGAACGCCTGTGGGAAAGGTGCCAATCGTTTCGTTAGTCAACTCCTGCTATCCAGCCCAGCCCCAAGGGCAGAGCCGCTTGGAACCTGCTGAGCTGTGCTGATAACGTGTCCGCCAAGGGCAAGGGACAGAGAGCGGTTAATGTGTAACCGAAGTTCGCCTCCCAGATAAAAGGAAAACACCTAAAGAAAACAAGCGGCCGCCCCACCCCCAGGGGAAGGCCGAGAACGCCCCAAAGGCGGGGGGGTGGGGGAGGGAGGGGGAGGAGCGGGGCTGCGCCC